TCTTTCCCTTTACTTGAATATTAAATAAGATGCTATCATAAATATGCTTAAGCACATTTACTTTACCCACCCTCTTAAAAAAAAAAATCAAGCTCAATCTGGTATCAACTGCAAACTGGCTCCAATTTAACAGAGTATCTCATATTTTGATGATTATTAGCTATAAACATGTATTCATAATCATCTGGAGTAAGCACCAATAAACTCAGACCAACACCCAGAATGAGCAGCTTCAATGTCTATCTGATTTTCAGTCACATGACTACCATAATTATGAGTATACAAGGACTTAATACTTCAGCACCACAGATTAAAAATGAATCACTTGAAATAAACACTTGAAATAGGAATTTTACAGTAATTACTAACTTTAAACTGTATTGAGAATTTTAATTTATTAATCTCACAAGTACTTAACAATGAGCATGTCCCCAAAGAGCAGACTATAGTTGAGACACATTAACACAAGTTTAAAATTTGGTTATCTTAATGTGAAGGTACAAGCAAATAGTTCTACAGGCCAGGTGCATAAAGGAATAAACTTAAGTCATAAAGGAAGACGAAATACCTTTAGGGACCTTTTAAAACTACAAATATATGTGATTAAAATCCAGTGATTATGTACCATTTATCATTATCACTAGTAGCCACAATGCAATTAAACCCGAGGGGCTGTCTGTAGAAGCCCAGCAAGCCCAAATTTGTGCTCTCACAAGTTGAAATATCATTCTTTCTTCTGGCAAAGTTAACGTGACTCTCTCAGCTCCAGGACAATTAAGAAGGCCAAAAGTAGCAACCCACCTTCTCGAGTCACAGCGTGGACTCCACCCTATGGACAAGAAACACCTGAAGATCTACCTGTTTTTACTCTAATAACTTACACCCCCACATGACCAGGTTAAACTTTACAAAGGAGTTAACTGACAAACAAGGAATCAGGACTGAAAATACTCCAGCAAAACCACCACCACATACATATACACAGGAAACTATATTCTCAATATATACTGTTTCTCTCCATCCCACCTCAAATCAATAGTCAAAAAAGAGCCCACAGTTGCCCGATAACATCTTATCAGGGCCTAACTATGTTGGATTTGGAGCAGGGGAGTCTAGGCCTGCCTCTGGAAGAAGCTGGGTCCCTCAAGAAGACCAAAACACCTCACGGCAAGAACTAGACCAAGCAGAGACCCTGTATATTCATTTACCTATTTCAATCAACTGCTGTAGGACCATCCAAATTACAGAAAGGAGAGTAAAAGCTTAAGAACTGAAATTTGCTTGAAAAATTTTCAGATTCTCCCAATACATGAAAAATCAGCAATACATAAATGAAGAAACAGGTGGAATAATTTGAAAGTCCTGAATTTTAGCTGACTCTAAGCAAGCTGTTTGGGAGTACATGGAGAAGATCTTACAGTGAAAATAGTTCTGGCTGGCACCTGACTAGACATATGACCTTGGGAAATTTACTTAAGTCTCTGGGACTCAGTTTCTCAACTGCAAATGGGGTTGGACTACAAGTCCTGAAGATTCCTTTCAGGTCTAAAATTCTTTATCAGTGAAAAAGTCAGTGGATTTCTACTCTCTTCTTCCCTCTAGTACAGATATTTATGAGAACAGAGGCCATAAGTCTAGGACTAAACTTTCACTAAAACCAAGTTCCATCTTATATTTTTTGTTTGTTTTCTTCATCTTATATATTTTATGTCCCCAAGAGCCACCAGTGCTCTAAAAAAGTAGATAGAATTACTCAAGACAATTTATCAAAAGAGAATCTTCAAGTTATCCTTTACAATTAAGAATTAATCTTCTATTTCAGTCCAAACAATGTCACTTGCGCCAAATGCTCAAAACAGCATCTCTCCCAATTTTAGCCATGTCTAAAGTGACAATCAGGCAATGGTACATAAGCATTACACATCTGGGTGTGTGACACTAAGTGGCGGAAAAATTCTCACCACATACAACATTTAAAAGAATTTTTAAAGTATTTTTTCCCCTTCAGATCTGGCAGGAGTATAATCTGATCACACATCTGCAAGAAACATTTACTTCAATAAACTGTCTTAAACACAAAAAGAATCAAACGAGTTACCAACAGAGGTAAAAATTTTAAATCAGGATCATTAAGAAATACAAGTGAAACCAACTCTGGGAAAAAGAATGCCAATTTTCTATCATAAACTACTAAACATGGTTTTGACCAAATCAATTTGAGTACAAATAGTACTATTTAATGAACGTGTAACTGGATCCAACAGGTAACTAAGGACAGATGTCCAGGTGATTCCTAATCAAGGCAGTAATTTAGACTAAGCAAAATTGCAAATTAATACTTTATTTTGATGACACACAGTTTAAATCATGAAAAACTGTTCCTTTCAACTGGAAAATTCCCTTCTTTTAAATACCGAAGAATCCTAACCCTTAAGATTTCAACACTATATTTTACTTACACAATCTCAAAGCATACTGCATTAAAAAAGAAAATACCCAAAACATAACTGGACTTCACGCAGTATAAAACGGTGATTCATGTTTCATGTTAAACGTAAAAGCCAAAATGGAGTTGTAAAGAGTTTCTTTCCCATTTCAACTCCAACAGCCACGCGCGCTTCACAGGGGCCGGCTGCCCAGCAGCTCGTGGGGCCCAGCTTAGAGCCCCCGCCCTGCCCGGTGCGGCCCTAGGAGAGGAAGCGCCGGGGACCGAGAGCTGGCGGGCGGCTTGGGCTCCAGCAGACCTGGCCGGGCGGGGGAAGGGGCGCGGGAGGCCGCGAGGCGCGCTTCCGGGGACTGCGCGGGTGGGGCCGTCGCTTTGGGAAGCGGGGCCTGGGTCCCCGGCCTGGGGTCAGGGTCAGGGGCCAGGGTCCTGGTGCTGCCGGCCGAGAGCAGCAGGTGGGGCACGGCCGCGGCGGGGCGGGGGCTGGCGGGCGGCCGGAAGAGTGCCGGACGGGCGGGCCCGGGGCACCGCGGCGCCAGGAGGGAACCCTCTCGCTCACCTCAGGCGACGACTCCGAGTCCGGCCTCTCCGCGCCGAGGACTCCTGTCCGCGAGTCGCAAGCTCGAAGACTACGGCGGGTGGCTGAGGAGGCTGCGGCGGACTAACGAGAGAACCGACGGAGAGCAACGGGCGGGGACCGCGAGAAAGCAAGAGCGGGCGTCGACGGCGGCGGGAGGGCGGGGAGAGACGTGCGCGCCCCCGTGTGCCCAGCGGGCTCGAGCCGGCCCCAGTCGCGGCCCCGCGCACGCGCGCGCACTCCCTGCTCAGCCACGATTGCTTAGGAGCGTGTCCACACCCTAAAAGCAAGACTCTTAACCAATCATTGCAGCCGCGTGGGGCATCATGGGAACTCCTGGGCTATAAAAGACCTGGTTGCTATTTTATACTCCTCGAGTCACTCATCCTTTAAGCAGGGTGGGGTAGGTGCGCGTGCGCGGTTTTAACACTCCTCCCCAAACTGCCAACTCTTCGCGCAAGCGGGGTAGACGCGCCTTCCGTGGGTTTACGCGTGCGCACTAGCGGGCCAGGCTCCGGAAGACCAGACGCCTGCGCAGTGGGGACTACGGTGACAGTCCCCTGGCTGGGACGCCGGCCAGTCATGGCGGAGCCTTGGTCTGGGCAGTCCTTGCAGGCTCTGCCGGCCACGGTGCTGGGCGCTCTGGGCGCCCTCGGCAGCGAGTTCCTGCTGGAGTGGGAGGCGCAGGACATGCGCGTGACCCTCTTCAAGCTGCTGCTGCTTTGGTTGGTGTTAAGTCTCCTGAGCATCCAGCTGGCGTGGGGTTTCTACGGGAGTACGGTGACCGGGCTGTATCACCGGCCAGGTGAGACGATCCACCAACTTCCGTGGGCCGGCCACCCCCTCCCCCGCCGACTGTAACTTTGGGCTCCCCAGAACCCCCCAGACTACCAGTGGGTCCCCTGAGAACCTCATCACAACTTAACGCTGTACCCTGACCCATGTCAACATACCACTTCACGTCAGAAACCCCACCAGTCCACCCGTCACATATAAATTCCTTTCAACCCCCGTCAGCCAATACCACTAGTCCCTTAGGGCCTCCAATACACTCTCCATCAAACAATACCACTGGCCTCTAACCTGACCTGGGCTGATGCCTGCTCAGATACCCACCCCCAGCTTGCTGCAGCTCTGGATGTGTTCCTGCCCCCAGGTCTGGGCGGCCAGAACGGATCCACACCTGATGGCTCCACGCATTTCCCTTCCTGGTGAGTAAATCTACTCCTATGTCTACCCCATGCTTAGCAGGCAGAGGCCACTCCTGAGCTGAGGACAGGGGAAGGGAGTTCTCAGGGTAGGAGGCCACCAGCTTTGCAGCAAACCCCAGGGTCTGCAATAGAGCTCAGGCTTCAAGTGACATCGATTTCTGAACAGCCCATCTGTATGCTGTTCAGTAACCTGTGGGGTGGGTGGCATTATTGTCACAATTTCAGAGGTGTAGTGGCAACTGCACTGTAAGAGATGTAGAGATTCCACTGCACTGTAAGCCCCTCAGTTGGAAAGGCAGGAGCCTCTGTCCTTAGTGCACTGACTGAACTCATCAGATCAGCCTTCTAATCTGTAAAACATGAACTCACTAATCAGAGCGTTCATTCAGTTGATCTCTGAGCTCCTACCACATGGCAGGGGCCACACTAGGTCCAGAGAACAAGAACAACCCAGGCCCTGCTCACAGGTGGAACCAGAGATTTAAAAGGGGAGGGCAGAACCTAGTGGCAGGGCAGGAATAAAGGCGCAGATGTAGAGAACGGACTTGAGGACACGGCGGGGAAGGGGAAGCAGGGACGAAGTGAGAGAGTAGCATTGACATATATACACTACCAAATGTAAAACGGATGGCTAGCGGGAAGCTGCTGCATAGCACAGGGAGATCAGCTCAATGCTTTGTGATGACCTAGAGGGGTGGGACAGGGAGGGTGGGAGGGAGGTTCAAGAGGGAGGGGATATGGGGATATAAGTATACATATAGCTGATTCACTTTGTTGTACAGCAGAAACTAACACAACATTGTAAAGCAATTATACTCCAATAAAGATATTTAAAAAAATTTTTTTAATAAATAAAAGGGGAGGGCAGCAGTGCAGAGGCAAGGGTCATCAGAGCTGGTATCTTCCAAATCAGACACCTAAGCTGAGGGCAAAGGCTAGGGGTGTACCAAGCAAAGAGAATGGACAGAACAAGGCCTAGAGGCAAGAACAAGAGTGACATTTTGGAAGGATAGACAAGGCTGTGATGCTGGAGCTCAAACGTAAAGGCATGAAGGGACCCGGAATACCCTATCCCAAGTCTCAAAGAGCTATTGGACTCAGCAAAGCCATGGCCTGACCGAATTTGCTTTTATAACTGCCTGCTTCATGGCATATAGGTAAAGGTGTCCAATAGAGAGGGCAAGAGGCCAACTAGGAGGCCTGTCACTGCACAGGTTTCTGTCCTTGGCAACTGGCGAAGGATGGGAGCACCATTCACAAAGTGGAGAAGCAGGAGGAAGAATAAGTCTGCAGGGGAAAGTGGTGGACCCAGTAAGGGCTGTGGAAGCTCAGCAGAGGTCTAGGTTATAGTGTGGCCTTACTGAGCCCAGCTCAGCACCCACAAGGGGACTGTTATGCTGTCCGTGGAATAACCCCTCTTCTCTTCTGTCACTTTCAGGGAAACAGCAGCAAATGAACCTCTTAAAACCCACAGAGAATAAGGGAAGGCAGCAGAGGGGTCTCCAGGAACATCACCAGGTCTGCTGGCTCCCATACTGGGTTCTGCTGCTGCCCAGATCCCAGGGACGACTGCAGCGGGGGTAGAGGTTGGGGGCAGGCAGTATGCCAGTGCTTGCAGGGCTGGGCCTACACTGCCCTTGGTCTTGCCTCCAGCAGCCCCAGGCATTGGGCCAGTTAAGAGTTTGCCTGTACCCTGATTTGGGCGGCTTAAGGAGAGAAGGCATGCTTCTCCTTTCAGGGGTCAGCTCAGAAGCCTCTGGGTTGGGGAGGGCAACAGTCCAGTTTCTGTCTTGGCTTTTTCCTGTTCCTCTTCCCATCCCCCTGGGATGTGACCCTGTAGAGATTTGTCCCTGGGAGGAAGCCTGAGGTTGAGCAGCTCTGAGATTTGTAAGGCAGGTCTGTTTTCCCCTAAGCCTCGGGTTTCCTTTATTTGGTTTTGCTTTGTTGGCAGGGACCCAGGGAATCCTGGCCTGGACACAGCCTTATATTTTATGGTTACTTAGCTGGCCATTCAAGTATAAGACAGTGAACACCAAACACCCACCTCCTTTGGCTCATCCTGAGCTCTCCAGGTGTGAGTCAGGCTATATAAGTTGTCTTTTCATTGTACTCATATTCCTCTTAACCCCTCCCAGAAGGAAGCTGGGTACCTAAAAGTGGCTGAGTCCCGGGGGTGACCTCCCATCTCCACTGCTTAAGTGCCTGTGGGGTTGTGGATCTGTACCCTGCCCCTCAAAGGGACATACTGAGCTGTTTAGTGCAAAGCGGCCCCATCATGCCCTGCAGCCTCACCACTTCCCATTTGACCTGGAACCAGAGCTTCGTTCTAAGAGCCCACAGGCTAGGCAGGCCTGCCACTTCCACAGTGAGCCAAGGGAACTTATAAAGGTATAAGTGGCAAACACCAGTTCCTGAAAGCAGCCCTAGACCTGCCTGCTTCCCTGATGGACATACTTCTGCCTGCTTCTGCTGGGCCAGCAGCTACCTCAGTGTCCCACTGCTTCCTTCCTCTCTGTTAAATGTCACATTTCCATCTGGCAGCCTTTGCCTAGGCTGTCTTTGCAGAGTGCACTGGAGTAGGACTATGCTGAGCTCATGCACGAGTACTCCGGAGTATCTTCTGGCTGGTGGGATGATGGTTCTGCAGCCCCAGGCCTACCCACTGACAACAAACACCACACTCAGAATTGGTCCCATATTTCACCCCAGGCTCAACTGAGGATGTGGCTTATTAAACATGGAAGTACATCAGCTGTGTGGTTATTGACAGGACAGTGTGCACGCACAGGGGAAACTGGAGAGGGAACACCCTGGGGGCTGTTGCCCCTGAGCACCCAGAATACAACTTGCAGGGGTGGAGAGGCGATGCCAGCTCCCTGGAGGAGCAGTGGTGGTGCCCAGCAGGGGCACTCTCCCCTTTGGTTCTTATAGACCTGCCCCTCTCAAGGGGAACCCACTCTGAGTCTGGGCCAGGAAGGCAGGCATTGGACTGGCACCCTAGGAACCCTGTGGACAGAGAACAATGAAGCTAGAACTCTAGCAAGCAAGAAGGAAGGAAGCTCATTTAATGTTTTATTTTTTTTAGGAGTCAGTGGAGTCCAGTAATAAGTCCCAGGGACGAAGGTCAGCCCAGGATAAGGCAAGTCTGGGAGGAGGCCCAGCCTGCCCTACAACAGCTGTGGGGCTCAGAACAGGTGGTGAGCCTGGCATGGCTGGCTGCTGGGCAGCAGGCTGGGCCAACTGGAGAATGTGGAAGAATGAGTCCATGCCCCCCTCAGCCATCCCCAAGTTTACAGACGGGCACCACAGCCCTACTAGGCCAACCCTCTGTGAGTCAGGAATCATCCCTGCCCAGGAAGAGGCAACAGTTTGAATTCATGGAAAGTGAACCAGAGGAGGTAGCCAGCACTGCCCAAGGTAATGACCCTTTACAGCGTGAAAAACCGTGGTGAGGTAGGTTGGGCAGGCTTTCTCCTCCCCCTAAAGGTGAGCCTTTCTCCACAGGCAGCACCTGGCAGAGTGGAAGGGCGAGGTGCCAGAACTGATGCTTCTCCAGCAGGCAAGAGTGGGGTCAATGGGACTGTGGGCTGGTCCATCACTCAGAAATGGGGTCTTGAAGTTGCAGGTGGCACAGGATGAAGTGGGAATAGGTGGTGTGACCCCGTTACCCAGACAACCAGTACCAGCCTCCACCTAGCCACCTACCCCAAGTGTGTTCTGCCTCAGCTTCCTGACTAACCCCTTGTACAATGCCCTCCAGGGTAAGGCTCCTGGAGGAGAGGGCCCTGCTCCAAGTCATCCTCACTTAAGGGTATAATAGTTTGTGGGCACAAAGGGCATCTTGCTGACCATGGCCATCTGCTGCTTTCGCCGCACCTCTACCAGCAGCAGGGTACCTGGCCGACTGTACTCATAGGGCACATAACCCATCGCCACATTCTTCTTCAGGCAGGGTGAGGGGCAGCCACTGGTCACAGCACCTATCCAGGCAGACACCATGTGTCAACACCACCCTGCCAGCCCAGGGTCCCCACCCTCCTAGGGAAGAGAGAAGGGCTCTCCAACTTCCCTGGTCAACCTACCAAGCACGGTACCCTCTGTACTCAGGATAGGGTTGTGCGCCCGCACAGGAGCCCCCTCACACATTAACCCCACACGCCTCCGCTGCACATTGCCCTTCAGCTGGGGAACAATGACCGAGGCTCCTGGGAAGTCCATAGCAGCTCGGCGGCGCTTCCCTGGAACATGACACATCAGATTTAAGCCAGAGTCCATAGGACCCCTGACCACAGGAGGTCCTAGTGACAAGGAACCCAAGTGACATCTATCCAGCATCAAGGCCCCTTCGCTCAGGCTGCCCCTAGACCCCATTCCTCCCCTGCAGTGCAGTCAGCCATCCACCTACTGACCCCTGGTCTTGGAGGCCATGCTCCCCACCTCAGCCTGCTGAGAGTCCTCAATATCTACTGGGCAAAGCCACTGTGGTACCTTCAGGAAATGAAGGCTCAGGGAGGCTGTGCCACTTGCTCCAGGCTACACAACCTTGGAAGCAGTCCTGGGTTGGCTGGTCTCATCAAGGGTCACTCCAGCCTTCAGGATCCCCTCCCTGAGTGCTAGCCCAGCTTACCCAATGTCCAACTGAGGCTGCCTTCCACAGGTGTGGTGTGTTCATCAATGTCATTCCCATACAGGCAGAGGCCTGCCTCCAGGCGCAGGCTGTCCCGGGCCGCCAGCCCTGCCAGCTTCACCTCTGGGTTTTCCAACAGAGCTGTTGCCAGGCGGACTGCCTCCGCTGCCAGCACCGAGATCTGCAAGGGACACCAGGGAGCAGATGGGCTGCTGGCCCCAGAGTCCTATGCCCTGCACTACCCTGTGCCCACTTCTTGACAAACCTCCACACCATCCTCTCCTGTGTAGCCACAGCGGGTCACACGGCAGCCAGACACGCCAAACACCTCCATCACAGCACTGGTCATGAAGGGCAGTTTCCTCAGATCATCTGCCACGCCAGCCTGTAGCACCTGGGCCGCAGTGGGGCCTGGACCCAGGGAGCCAATAACCAAGTGTCCAGGTCCTGGTACCCCAGAAAGCTGGATCACAGCCCTTAGGGACCAGAACAAACCCCACTCTGCAGGTGGGAGAAGATGCTCTTGCCCACAGCCCATGGAGCCTTGTGGCAGGTAGAAGGAGGGCATGATACCAAACTTAGAATTATGGTGCATCATCCTCACCTTCTCCCAGCACGGCCTCTCTGCCAAGCAGTAGAGGAAACCTGGAAGGCAAAGGTCAGCTCCAAACCCAGCCTGGCCCACTTACCTTGTAGGGCTAGCAAGGCATTATCCATCACCTCCAGACCCACATCGCTGCCCGTATTCTGAAGCTCCCTAACCTTGTCCTGAAAGGAAAGAAATACCACATTTGCTCTGGGACCCCTTACTGAGCACCTGCCATGGGCCAGATGCTGCAGAGCTTGGCAGAGTAGGCTGGTTCCCATCTTAACAAGTTCATATAACTACTAAGTGGTAGGGATAACTCAAGCCCAGGTCTGCCAGCTCTAACACCAGGCTCCAGCCTTCCATCCTCACCAGAGGATCCTCACTTAGGGGCCAGGATCAGCTTCACCTCCCCACCTCCCCCACTTCCCCACCACTGAAACTTAGCATGCTCCAGGGAAGGCCCGCTCTGGCCCACTGTTCTTTCAAAGAGCCATTGTCTGAGCCCCTTATCCATTCCAGGTCTGTCCTGGAAAACAAGGATGCTGCTCTGTGAACAAGGAGGACAGGGTACCTGGGACACAGAGGGGCTATACCTGCATGAGGGTCAGGTCCTTTTCCCAGCAGCCAGCATTGGACACCACATACAGGTGTCCCTCAGAGGTGTTGGTCACAATCAAGTCATCTAAGATGCCGCCAGCCTCATTGGTAAACAGCGACAGTGTTCCCTAGCAGCAAAGTGGAGCATCATTGCCTCCAGGTCCAAGAGGCCAAGGTCAAGTGTGAGTCAAACACGCCCCTGGGCCCACTCAGCCACCACAAACTCATGAACCCTCATGAATAGAGCTGAGGGGTGGCAGTGCAAGAAGCAAGCCTGGGTCAGCCCAGGCCCCTGCACAAGCCCAGGGTTTTTGATCCTCATACACTGAGAAAGGTTTCACCTCTTCCCCACTTTGGGGGACACCTCCCTGATCTGGTGGGGCCTCTGCATACCTCCCCATTCAGTACAGAGAGCCCCTCTCACACTTAACCCACCATACTTAGGACTTGATGCTTCGTCCCACCCAGACCTAGGACAACTCAGTCTGTGCCCCAAACCCCAGGACAGAAGCTTCAAAGTCTATGGGAATTCCCTGGTGGTCCAGTGGTTAGGACTCAGTGCTTTCACTGCTGAGGGTGAGGGTTCAATCCCTGGTTGGGGAACTAAGATCCAGCATGGCCAAAAAAAAAAAAAGAAGCAGCAGCTTCAAAGTCTATCTTGATGATCCCATGTGCTCCACAACAACCCTCTGTAACACTGAGGCTGGCTGGCTTCAGTCTCCCCACTGGATGGACAGTATAAGAGCCTGAGGTTAAGAAGTCACATGAATCACCTGGGGATCTTGTTAAAATGCAGGTTCTGACTCATCAGGTCTGAAGAACTGGCCAGAGTGTATCCTAACAAGCTCCTATGTGACGATGAGGCTGCTGGTTTACAGGCTACGCTTTCGTTTTTCTTTGGCCGCGCAGCTTGTGGGATCTTAGTTCCCCAACCAGGGATTGAACCCAGGCCCTCGGCAGTGAGAGCACAGAGTCCTAATCCTAATCACTGGACGGCCAGGGAATTCCCAGGACTACAATTTAAATTGCAAGGGGTTAAGCAGCATGGAAGTTCACAGAACAGGACGTGAACCTGGGTTTCTGGCCTTCCAGAAAGTGATGGGGATGGGATAGGACCCTCCCTGCAGATGGCTGGGTGTCTGGACATGACTCGGGGACTCCGTCCCCCAAGAACAAAAGCCCTGAGAAACTGTGTCTGATCCATCTCTGTGCCCCCAGGCCCGAAGCAGGGACTCAGACTGGTTTGCTGGCTTATGACTAAGAACACTCATTGAGCAGAAATAAAAGAGAGGCCCACCTGGTTTGGCTTTAGCTCTGCAATATCTCCAACCACTAGACTTTCCATCAGCTTCACCCGGTCATGGCCAAATATCTTGGTCTGGGAAAGAGATCAAAAAGCCTCTGGAAAGCCACGGGGCTAGGAGGCATCCTCCCTGCCACCCACAGCACAGTCCAATCCAGCCAAAGTGCCTGACTAATCTTTTGGTTCTGCAAGTGGCAGAAGCCCTACTTTCTGACTCCCCCACACCCGCCAATACAGAAGAGATACAGAAGAGATGCACTCAGGGAGGTTAGGGAACTTGAAAGGGCCCAGCACCTTCCTGAAATACCCCCTTTTCCAAACCAATACCTAGGACAGTGGATACCAATGAGTGGGAACCCTGGAAAACCCAGGACGTTGAGGCACTCCACTAAGTGGGAGCAGGCTAGAGAGATAAGACAGGAGATGATCAAGAGACCCTCTGAGTCAGTTTACTGGGGGCCATAGTACATTACACCCTTGAGACCTCCAACTCTTCTGAGAGGGCTGCCCTTGGAATCCAGCTCCCAGCAAAGAAAGCTGAGGGTTGAACCATTGTGGACGGAGAGGCCTGGCAATCAGCACACTCCCCTGGCTCACCTGCAGCATGTGGGATACATCAAAGAGCGAGCAGTGCCGGCGTGTATGCAGGTGTGAGTCAACGTGGCTGTCCCGGTACTGCACAGGCAGATTCCAGCCTGCGAATGCCACCATCTTCCCGCCATGGGCCAGGTGGAAGTCATAGAGTGGTGTCCTGCGGAGCACGTCCTGCGGGCGGCCGGGCTCAGTGCCACCAAGGCCCCAGACCCCCAGCCCTCTTCCTCCCCCACCCTCCACGACTGGCACCACAACTCAGCACCCTCTATCCCACCTGTGCACTACTGAGAGAACGGCGCAGGGCCGAGGGGAGCGCCTGGAGACACGAGCCCAGACGGGACATCATGCTCCCAGCCCGCTGCATTGTTGCCCGCAACGGGTGCAGCCGACGCACAGAGGCCACCACTCTGACAGGCACGCTGGGAGATGTAGTCCAAGCCCTGCTTAGTTAGGTCTCTCCTCCGCCCAGGGGATCAGAAGAGGGAGTGGGCAGCCCCAAGGGCAGATGCAGCTTTAGAGCACACAGTGCATTGACTCCCAGCTGCAGGGAAATAGCCCCGGGCGCTTCCATCTGATAGGGCAGACTGGGCGGTTGGAGCCAGTTAAGCCACTCAGAAATAGAGCTGGGGGCTAGACCTCCCCCTGCTGACTGCCCTGCCTCCCAAGGGCCAAAGTTCTGCAAAGGGCTGAAAGGCCTGAATCACCAGTTTAGGACAATAGGAGTGTAAGGTCGCATGGGGGGAGGGTAAGGGGTGGAGAGGGCACAGGAGGGTGGAGTCAGCCCGGCAGGCAGAGTGCCACAGTAACCTGGCCTCATGTGAGGGTCTCCAGCTCTCTCGCTGGGCAATCATAGGCAGCGAGCACAGTGATGCATTCCACAAGTATTTATTGATCTTGCTGCACACTAGGCCCTGTGCTGGGGACAGAGCTGTGCAGGAAGCAGGGTCCCTGCCATCCCAGGGACCTCCCCCCTCATTCACATACACACTGAGGGCTGCTACTCCCTGAGCACAAGACTGATCATTACCCTCTTAGCAAAAGCTGAATGGGGCTTAGTAAATGACCCTGCAGGCAGATACCACCTACGAGAACTCTGATAGGTGACATCAGAAGGTGGCCACCAAAAAGTGGCTGCCCTTCCCCTAGAAAGCTGTTGAGCCACACAAACATCCAACTTTCCAGGTCCAACACATGTTGCAGTACTGCCTCATAACAGCCTCCAGAAGAAAGCCAGGAAAAAACAGAGAGAAGCAGGATTTTCTCATAAGGAGCAGCAGCCTGTCTTATTCAGCTGCTGGCCTGGGGTTGTAGAAAACCTCAGCCTCTTAAAAGACACCAATGAGAACCCTCACCTGGCCCCCACCACCACCACCGAGGTTGATCTCTCATCACACTGAGCGTGGCTCTTAGATGGGGGCAACTGGAAGAGGGACAAGGATGCGCTCTGGGCTCTGTCAGATGGCAGACAGGTCCCAGGACTCATTTTCAGGCCCCAGCCTTGCCCAGGGCACCCGCCGACCCGATGGATGGGGGCAGACCCATTTGAACACACATCCAGGAGCCAACTCAGGGACCAAGGGACTCAGGCTGCGCAAATTCCCAGCTTTGTGTGGCTCCCTAGGCAAGCAGCAGAAGAGTTTAGATAGGAATTTTCTTTTTGTGGGCATAATACAAAGGGAAAGAAGACCATTAGGGGGCGCAGAAGGAAAAACGCGGCTCCTGTTTCTCCTTCAAGCTTCCAAACTACGACTGCCAAGTTATAGCAGTCTTCCAAGGCTAGACAGAGCAGGTTCTAGTAGGTTACCCCAGCCTACTACACTCAGGGTGAGGGAGCAGGCAGAAGATAGGAATGTTCATGTTGGCAGAGGAGACAGAGGGCACAGGGGGATTCTTAGTAATAGAACTGGAGTGTTTTTAGGGAGGGCGAAGGAGGTTTGGGTTGCAGTCAGGTGAGGACAGAGTGTATCCCCTCCAGGAGTTCATGCTAAAGCAACACAGTGAGCCCCCAAGAATCTTGACTCTGTGAACGTGGTCCCGACAGGATGCGCATGCAGGCAACACTCGGAATGCACAGGGACAGCACTTCAGCCTCTGATGGCCCAAACTGGGCCTGGATGGGCATGGAAGGCCAACGTCTTGACTAAGGGCCACAGCTCAAGTGTAGGAGAGCAAGTTCAGGTCATAACAGCCATCCACCTGCAACACAAAAGACCATCAGATCTGACCCATTCAGGCCAACGGGAGCCAAGCAGAGGGAAGTGATCACTCACATCAAAGCGGCCGATCCTTGTGGAGGTATGACTGGCCCGGATCATCTCTGTCAGCGCCCACATCTGCTGTACCTCGGATGATACCCTGCTGGGGTCTGGGAGACCCTGCTCCAGAAGGAGGGGTCAGTGGCCATGGGTCTCTCCCCAGCAGTGCCCTTAGAACTCCAGATAGGCCAAGTTGGGCTATGGGGCCCTCCAGCTGACATTCCCAGATGACTTGTGAAACATGAGGATGGGGCCTGATGTGGAGGAGGTGGCCCAGCCCCACATAGAGATGCCTCAAATCCCAGCAGGAAGGTGCACAGAGTGAACCAAGGTCCCTGGGTCCAGCCCCAGATTCTTGCAGAAAGGGGACCCCTTGGGCCTGTGCTGGACACCAGAGCTGTTCGCACATCATTCTTAGCCAGGGTAAGGGCTTACCTCAAGAAGGGGAGCAGGCTGCTCACAAGGCACTGGGTGCGAGAGCCACTTGGGGAAGGTCATGGAAGGGCTCTGCAAAGCAAAGGCATACTGCCCTGAGGCAGGCAGAGTAGGAGAGACCTGGAACCAGATCCCAAGGTCCTGAAGGCAGAGAGAAGGGCCCCTGAGCCCCAGAAACTGGGAAAATCCCGTTTAGGTCCCAGGAGCAGAAGACTACCTAAGCTCTTCTGCTATGCAGAAGGAAGCCCCATGAAGACAAGGAACAGAAGTATATCTGGGTACCTGAATGTTCCAGATCTGAAAAAGGCAGGTAGCCCCAAAGGTCAGGGGATATGGGGACGTGGCCTCACCTCTTATCATGAACTTCCAGCATTCCCACCTGGCTAACTTCCATGAAGGACTCCTTCTGAGTCTTCCCATCCTTACCCATCCACTCCCACCTGTACCCCCAGGCCTCCCAGCCATAGCTAGGAGCCTCCTGGAGAAAGGGCCAGCAAACAGCTCTGAGCTAGTCACTTACCTTTGGTCCCTGTTGGTAGATCTGCAGCTCCTCCACCGTGAAAGACAACCACAGTGGTGATGGCTGTCGCAGAATCAGGCGTAGTTCCAGTACTTTGCCCATGTCACACAGCATCTGACACATACACACAAGCACCCACCAAGGCCCCAGCTCACTGCCCAGGAGTCAACCAGCAATGAGCCAAGGTGCTTCCTCCCCAGGCCTTTGAGAAGGAAACAGTAGTTCCTCCAAGGCACTTGCCCAAGAACCACAATTCAGGCCAACCTTGGCCGCCCCTCTTCCCTCATGGTATCCTGGCCCAATCCCCAGGCCTCTTGTGAGCCCTCATCTGGGCTGCCCTGGCCATGCTGAGTCCCAGCTGACCTGGTGCTTGAACAGCGATACATACTCCTGAGCTCCCTCCTCACTGTGTGGGTCAGGCATCAAGCAGTAGTCCCGAAGGCAGGTCACCCACTTGGCTGGAGTGTGTGTTGAGGTGTGCTGGCGAACACGGATGGTCAGAAAGGCTGTGTAGTAATTCTTAAACATGATCTCCTGCAACTAGGGCACACACAACCCACCACAACAAATCACACCTAGGCCCCGGGCCTGATGGGTTCAAAAGCACCATCTCTTCCTCCACTTAGGAATGTACTCTTCTACCAATCTAACAATATCAACAAGAATCCACTGGGGCCCAAAGAGACTTTGCCTTCCTAGAACTCACAGTCTAAATGGGCACGTCATGTAAACAAACCATGACCTCGGATCTTGCTGCATGTCCAAGATGCTGCGAGTGGTCAGAGCCCTAACTCTAGATGAATCAGAAAATGTACAGATGAGCTCATCAAGTGGACCATGAAAGGTAGAAACTGTAAAGTAGCATAAACAAAGGAACACCAAAGGGTGACAGGACCTGGCATACACCTGGAACAGAGAGTGGTTCAGCCTAGCTAAAGCAGTTCTCATCACTGGATACTCATCAGAATTACTTAAGGAGGGAATTCCCTGGTGGTCCAGTGGTTAGCACTCGGTGCTTTCACTGCCAGGACCCAGGGTTTGATCCCTGGTCGGGGAACTAAGATCCCACCGTGGTGAGGCCAAAAAAACCAAAAACAACAGCAACAACAAAAAAATACAACAAAATAGAATTACTCAAGGAAATTTTTTTTTTTTTTTTTAATATAAGTGTACAGGCTCCACCCCAGACCTACTGAATCAGATTTCCAGGGTTGGGCCCTGTAATGAAGTCTCCCGGCTTAGAGTAAGCAACAGCTTGGGGGAGAACCATACACTACAGGACAAAATGCCTGGGGCCGAGAGGCAAGTAGGGCAAAGACACAGAGTGGCTCTGAATGCCAGGCCATTAGAAAGTGGACTTTGTCCTCTGAGGTCTTGCAGTGTCCAGTCACTCTGGCAGCAGATGTGGAAGGGCAACTGGAGACTGGAAACTGGAGCCACTGGGAAGACCCTGATGAGGGATGATTTGAACCTGACCTCCAGCAGGGACTGTAGGAATGGGCAGGAGGCAGGTTTGGGGGTAACTCATTGTCTAATGATACCCAGTCAGTGGCCAGGGACAAAACGATCTCTCACCTCTATTAGGTTCAAAACTGTATTTCTAGCACCTAGCCTACTATCTCGGCACTTCCGTGTCAGCGCCATTATGGACATTGGGGAGAGTCGTTGAAGAGAACAGAAGAGGAAGCTGCATTCTAGTAACTGTGTGTTAACTGAAGGAATAAATAAATGTTTAACTGATTCGTATGGACGAGGTACTGCAGAGGCTTTCAGTAAACGATTAAATGGCTGGGACACGCCCGAGTTCCCAGATAAGCCCCGCCCAGGAGCCCCGGTCGCGCCCACTTGCTTGCTCACCTCGAAGGGCGCGACGCTGGGGAAGGTGACATCGATGACCAGCACGCCAGGCCGGCCTTGGGAGGTCCGCACGTCGCCCACCTGCAGGGCCACGGTACCTTTCACATGACAAGGGACCGACAAGCGGGACATGGTGGCAGCGGCCGCGACCAAGTAAGACCAATAGTCTTTCCCGGCGTCCCCAGCCGGGCCCCAAGAACTACAACTCCCGAGAGGGCTCGCGGTCGGCCATCCCAGCCAGTCACTGATGCTCGGGGCGGGCCCGGATTCGGAAGTGCCTGCGGAAGTGCTCCTTCAGCCAATCACCGAGCGTGCCTTAGAGAGCCACCAGGGACCATGCCCAGAAACGGCCTAGCGGTTCTGGATCCAATCAGTGCTGAGCTTTATAGGTTCCCTGAAGTCTCAGTCGGTTACTTCCTCTGTGCAGAGCGGGCGTCAGTTAAAGCGCATAAAGCCATGAGCATGAATGAGCATCGTGTCTGGACGACACTGGTTGCAAAAATAGATATTAACCGTTTTTTTACGTGCGCGAAGGAGTTGAAGAGATAACTCACAAGAAAAGAAATAGCCAATATGCCCATGAAAAGACGCTTAACATTATTATTCATCAGGGAAATACAAATTAGAACCCCACACACCCACTAAACAGACTAAAATTAAAAACTGACAAAACTGTGGAACCCTCATGCATTGATAATTTCCTGCCACTTTGAAAAGCAGTTTGGCCATTCTTTAGGAACTAAATTTATACTTAAAACATGATCCAGCCATTGCACTCCTAAGTATTTACCCAAAAGAAATGAAAGCATATGTCCATCCAAGGACTTTATTCGTAATAGCCAAAATTTGGAAATAATCTAGGTGTCCAACAGATGAACAAATGAACAGATTAGCTAGTTGTGGTGTATCCACACAATGAAATACTACTCAACAGTAAAAAGAAATGAATGAATCCACAGGCTATCAATAGATGAATGGGTAAACAAAGTGTAATTACACAAAATGAAATTTATTCAGCCTTAAAAAGGAATGAAATTCTGGCACATGCTTCAACAAGGATAAACATTGAAAATATTACACTTAGTGAAAAAAGCCACACACAGAAGAACAAATATTATATGATTCCACTAATGTGAGGTACCTAGAAGAGGCAAATTCATTGAGACAGAAAGTTGAATAGGGGTTGCCAGGGGCTGGGGAGGGGGAAGTAGAGAGTTATTATTTGACAAGTACAGAGTTTCAGTTCAGGATGGATGAAAAAAAAATCTGGAAATAGCGGTGATGATTACAAAGCACTATGAATGTACTTAAGGCCGATGAATGATATATACACTTAAAATGAGTAAATGGTAAATTTTATGTCATGTATGTTTTACCACAATAAAAAACAAACAAACAAATGAACAACTGACATACACAATACCAACACTGGATTTCAAATGCACTATATTAAGCAAAAGAAGTCAGACCCAAGTGAGTTCATATGGTATGGTTCCACTTACATGAAATTCTAGAAAAGTCAAAACTAATATAGAGTAATATAAATCAGAACAGTTTTCCCTGGTGCCAAGGGTGACTGTGAAGAAGTACAGGGGAATATTTTGGGGTGACAGAAAGGTTCTATGATGTGATAGGCTGGTAGTTATATTTGTCTAGACATTTGTCAAAATTCATTAAACAATGCTTAAGATACGTGCATTTTATTGTATCTAAATTATACCTCAGTTGGGAATTCCCTGGCAGTCCAGTGGTTAGGACTCTGTGCTTTCATTGCCGAGGGCATGGGTTCAATCCCTGGTCAGGGAATTAGGATCTCACAGGCCGCACAGAGTGGGCAAAATAAATAAGTAAATAAAAATCGGTTAAAAAAAAAAAAAAATATATATATATACACACACACACACACACACACACACACACCTCAATAAAGAAATTAAAAAATAATAAAACAAAATAAATTATTCCTCAATAAACATGATTTTTAAAGAAAAAAATTAAACATCATATTTATTATCATCATCATCCTTCCAGATACTTGTGGAAACAATGCCTCAGAAATTGTCAGTTAAGCCTGTTTTATGGATAACAAAGCTGAGGCCAGATGTGGGCCATGATTTCCCAAGCCAAGAAAGCAATATGAAGTAGAGCTGGAAACAGAGCCTCTTTTGGACTCCTACCTCATAGGTCAGAACCCTCCAGGCAACAGTCATCTTTGGTGACCTGTGCCTTCTCTGCGTGAGGGGCTCCAGAGACACAGGCCCAGTGTAGCTCATAGGATTCTCATAATGGGACATCGAACAGACACAAAACCAGGATTCCAAGCCAGCCCAAGGAACAGCTGGAGGACCTGAGCCTTCCCAGCCCAGACCTGGAGACCTCCAGTGACAGAAAACTTTCCCTGCCTCATCATAATTTGTATCCTGTGGCTTCTGGACTGGTCATTGTTATCTCCATTTTGTTTTTTGCTTTTTGTTTTAAAATAAATGTATTTATTTATTTATTTTTGGCTGCATTGGGTCTTCATTACTGCGTGCAGGCTTTTCTCTAGTTGTGGCGAGCGGGGGCTACTCTTCGTTGAAGTGCATGGGCTTCTCATTGCGGTGGCTTCTCTTGTTGCGGAGCATGGGCTCTAGGCACATGGGCTCCAGTAGTTGCAGCACGCGGGCTCAGTAGTTGTGGCGCACGGACTTAGTTGCTCCGAGGCATGTGGGATCATCCTGGACCAGGGCTCGAACCCGTGTCTCCTGCATTGGCAGGCAGATTCTTTTTTTTTTTCTGACATCTTTATTGGAGTATAATTGTTTTACAACATTGTGTTAGTTTCTGATGCATAGCAAAGTGAATCAGCTATACATATACATATATCCCCATATCCCCTCCTTCTTGCATCTCCCTCCCACCCTCCCTATCCCACCCGTCTAGGTGGTCACAAAGCACCGAGCTGATTTCCCTGTGCTATGTGGCTGCTTCCCATTAGCTATCTATTTTACATTTAGTAGTGTATATATGTCAATGCCACTCTCTCACTTTGTCCCAGTTTACTCCCCCCTCACCGTGTTCAAGGGCAGGAGGATTCTTAACCACTGTGCCACCAGGGAAGCCCGCTATCTCCATTTTGACTCAGACTAATGATTCATTGCCTGGGTCCCTCCAGATTCCTGAGGGTTTCCCTTTTAGGGAGCCACCCACCCCCCCATACTGGAGCAGAGGTTTCCCTAAATCCCAGAGGACTATAGCCCTCCTGAGAATCAGGTGGATACAGACAGGTTTTGGTCTTCAGGCCTCAGCTCTGAGAGCAGACACAGACCCATGTGGCCCCTCATTGCAGATGAGTCTCAATATTGAAACAGGAGGGAAGGGTGCAGGGCACAACCTTTGAAAGAATAACATAGCCCGAGGACATGACATAAACTGATTAGAACCAAATGGGTCCAAGATGGCAGACAAGTCAACTTCCACTAGACCTTGAGCCTCAGTATACAGCTCATTGTAACACATCAGTAAGCTAACTGACACACCCACAGAGCCATGACAGTTCCAAGGCCGACCATAAGTATCAAAAAGTGGGTGGTGGGGCTTCCCTGGTGGTGCAGTGGTTAAGAATCCACCTGCCAATGCAGGGTACCTGGGTTCGAGCCCTGGTCCGGGAAGATCCCACATGCTGCAGAGCAACTAAGCCTGAGCGCCACAACTACTGAGCCTGCACTCTAGAGCCCGTGAGCTACAACTACTGAAGCCTGCATGCCACAGCTACTGAAGCTCGTGTGCCTAGAGCCTGTGCTCCTCACCAAGAGAAGCCACCACAATGGGAAACCCATGCACCGCAACTAAAAGTAGCCCATGCTCTTCGCAACTAGAGAAAGCCTGCGCGCAGGAACGAAGACCCAATGCAGCCATAAATAAATAAATAGATAGATAAATTTTTTAATTTTTTAAAAAAGTGGGTGGTGGCCAAATTCCTGGAAATCCCCACCCTTTCTCAAAATAGCTGGAATTCTCCTCCCACTCATTAGCCTATGAAATTACCCACCCCTATAAAAATTGATAACCCATACCCTGGTGCTCCTCTTGCCTTCTGAGATGGCCCACTGTCTGTCTGTGGAGTGTGTTTCTCTCTAAATAAATCCACTTCTTATCTATCACTTTGTCTCTCACTGGATTCTTTCTGCAATGAGGCATCAAGAACCTGAGCTTCATTAAATCCTGAAACCAGGTGTGTGATCTCAGTTGGAAGACTGTGAGTTTTGGCTGGCTACATGGGTTTGAGTCCCAGTCAGGGTTTTGGCTGAGTCTGAGTCCCAGCACTTTGGTTCTGAGTCCCAATCTGAGGTGCACGGTTTCAATATCTCTCTGGTGGACAGCCACCTCCACTCCATATATATATGAGGAGAGAGAGAGATCAATTGAGAGATTGAGATTATAAACTTATAAACTGTTTGCTCATGTGATTATAGAGGCTGAGAACTCCCAAGATTTGCCATTGGCAAACTTGAAACCCAGGAAAGCCAATGTGTAGTTCTAGTTCAAGTCTGAAGGCATAAAAACCAAGAGAGCTGATGGTATAAATTCCAGTCCAAAATCTGGCAGTCTCAGAGACCCTAAAAGAGCTGATGTTTTGGTCATACCCCAAAGGCTGGAAAAAGAACAATATTCCAGCTAAAGCAATCAGACAGGAGGGGTTTCCTTTTACTCAGCTTTTTTGTTCTATTCAGAACTTCAACTGATTGGATGAGGCCTACCCATATTAGGGAGGGTAATCTGCTTTACTCAGTCTATTCAAATATTAATCTCAAAAACTAAAAGAAAGAAAAATAAAAAATAAACAAATGTTAATCTGACACAGAAACACCCTCAGACACACACCCAGAATAATGTTTGGCTAAATATCTAGATACTCCATGGTCATTTCAAGTTGACACATAAAATTAACCATCACACAGTGTGTTGTTAAATTTCCACATATTTGTGATTTTTGTTTTCAGTTTCCATTATCTTATTCATGTCTAGTTTTACTCCATTGTGACCAGAAAGGAAAAGATACTCAGTGTGATCTCAATCTTTTTAAATTTATTGAGACTTGTTTGTGGCCTAACGTATGGCCTACTCTGGAGAATGTTCCATGTTCACTTGAGAAGAATGTGTATTCTGCTATTGTTGGGTGGAATGTTCTGTATATCTCTGTTAGG